GGATACAAACATGCAGTTCTCATGCAAGAACATGTGAGAGCACAGATGATGCGTACTTACAATTAACACTTACAATTTGACACCTTGTCCAGTTATATGCACTGGGTCATAAAGAAATGACAAACTTTTGCCAGCATTAATCTTCCTTCAGAGCCACGATATGGGGCAGAATTCTAATAATGAAATATCCTTATTATACAGAACTACTTACAGATATTAGCAGTGCCCTTAGGTATAGGCAGATAAGAACCAGGGCTCCACGGTCGGCCCTGGTAATTCTTCTTGCATTTTCCACAGTCTGGGCCAGTTGTGTTATGCTCACATTCACAAAGTAGTCTTTTGTTTTCTTCTTTACAGCCAGTAGCGTGAAGGTTGCACTTACACCTATTTTTAAAAGGCAAAAATAAAAAAAAGAGGGATATTATTTAGAGGTGAGTTTAAATTCAGATTAAGTCTTAGTAAAGCATGTCCTATGGCAGCCACTCTATTTCCATGTGTTGTGTCTGTATTACTGTTTTAGCATGCTTTACAATACATCACTCAAATAGCATGTTGTAATATCTTCAGCTTGCACAGGTCTAAAAGCAGTAATTTTTCAAGACTCCAAGATGCTGAATCTTTTCTTATTTTCACTAACGCAGCTCCACTGAGATCAACTAAATTATTCATAATTTTCACTACAGACAGGTCTATAATCTTGCAAAAATTCAAGCATTACTCACTACTCCCAGGAACAAAGCAAGTTCTCTGCTTATGTCCTTAGAGAACCTGGCCCAAATTAAGATCCATATTAGGCCCTGGGAGTCTGAGAAAACAGACTTCAATTAAATATACTCTGCTATGCCACACCAGTAGAAGGGAAGCTCACTATAATGGTGTTTTGCCATTCTTGTTCAGCAAGTACTCTCTTGCTCAGAAAGGAAATTTTTTTTTTGCCTGCTTTTAGGTGACATAGTTGTAGTAGCTGAAGGTCAGAGGAAATATTTTGGTAGGCACATTTAGTTTTACTTAGGAAAGAACACCTAATCAAACCTTGTGACAAAATCATTAGATAAACCAGATTCTGCATCTGGTCTTAGAATAATTGTATTTTCCTTAAATTCCCCTCTTTCCCTGAAACTAGGATACTTACAGAATAAGAAGCTAGTTTCATAAACAGTTAAGATATTGTCACCTCTTTCCATCCCTTTCCAATAGATGTCAAAACGGGCTAAAATCTGTTTCTGTTTGGGGCTGGAGAGAAAACTAGTATTTAATGTCCCTCTCTGTTTGTTTTCCTAATGATTGTACATCTAGCGATTTAAAGGATTCTCATGTGGGTATTTGTCACCTGTTCCATACAGTGACCAATAATTAGAGCAAGACAACACATGGAATGGCCAAGTGCAAATTAACAGCTGTCAAGCTGACTTCCACTTGGAAGGAATATAACCTGAAGCAACTGGCCACATACATATATATCCCCAGGGTAAAACAAGCTTGCAGTTGTTATAAGTGGCTGCTGGACAAAATCCACAAGAACCTGTAATACAGTAGACAGTGAAGCATTCTCCTCAATGCTAGAAATGAGGCAGATGAAACTGCTGTTATTTGAGCAATGCTCATTCTAAAGAAAAACAGGCTCAGCACCTTTTCAATTGAAATTACCAAAATGTATTGAATATGCTAGACAAAAGAAAGTGTGATTAATTTTTATATCATTTCCACAATATTGATGCTTAAAGACTACATCAGTTGTAAAGTAAATTTTCAATGGCTAGCCACTGCAGAATGAAAGATGCCTGTCTGGGTGTCAGTGGATGAGATATGCCTATTCATGTAGAGATTGAAGATTTTGCTAAATGGCACTGCTGTTAAGAAAAGTAACGGGTGGTTTTACTGTCCACAGGAATATGAAAATGGAAGACTCCCAAACAGGAGAGATACACAATAATGACAAGACAAAAAAATAAGAGCCAGAGGAGAATGAAGCAGGAGAGACTGTGGAGTCACTAGAATAAATGAGAGAGGAACCGACTGGATTTCTTTCAGGGGGAGATCTTTGTTTTATTGGAGGGACTTATCAGTGTCAGAGGCAGCAAACTGATCTGGGCAGGAAGAAAAAGCCAGCTGATTCTGAGGAAAGCTGTAGTTCCTAGGGCTCTGAAAGGGTCCTGCAGACTGGTAGGGGAAATGAGGTGGGGGAAAATAAATGTAGATACATCTGCTAATTGGTAAATGTGCACAGCTCTTTTAATAAGCACCCGAAAGTAAAGAACGGGTGTGTCAGAAAACCTTCTGCAAAGTCTGTTTGCACTTCTTAGATGCTACTCTTGTCATATGTTCCTGAAGAGAAAGACCCTTCTTCAATTTTGCTCATGTGGTTAAGAGTCTTGGGCAGATTCTGGCCTTCTCCATTTCCCTCTGCTTCTATCCAGTCCCACGTCTCTTCATATATATACAAAACACATGCATGCATTTATATGTCTGGATGTATATAGGCACACACAAACAATTCCCATAAATTCTCATGCATATTGATTTCCTTTTATTTCCCACGTTCCCTAACTCCACTGTGATCCACCTCTTCATAGATTGCCTCCTCCTTTTCCTTTATTTCCCAGGCAAGAGAGCATGGACAGCACGGAATAGCTCTGCTGCTGGTTCTGGTGCCAAGTTTTTTAATTTCTTAGGGCAAGATTGCTGCAAAGGAAGTGCTTCTCAGCCCAGAGTTGCGGCATCATGCCATGGTAGCTGTTCTGTGGTCCACATGGCAGGGCCCACGCAATACAGCAATGGGCAGGGTTTCTGCAGGAGACATCTTCTGCGATTTTAGCTACGAAGCTCCAACAGACAAAGGAAAACTACAGATTTTGGAGGTCTATGTTTGTGCCCAATACAGGTTTTCACAAAACTAGCAAAATGCATTTTCTTGTAGAAGTAGTTGGGGATCTTCTGTCAAATTTTAAAACCCTATGTCCTGGTTTCAGCTGGGATAGAGTTAACTGTCTTCCTAGTAGCTGGTACGCTGCTATGTTTTGAGTTCAGTATGCAAAGAATGTTGATAACACACTGATGTTTTCAGTTGTTGCTAAGTAATGTTTAGACTGAAGTCAAGGATTTTTCAGCTTGTCATGCCCAGCCAGTGAGAAAGCTGGAGGGGCACAAGAAGGTGGCACAGGACACAACCAGGGCACCTGACCCAAAGTGGCCAACGGGGTATTCCATACCATGGGATGTCACATCTAGTATAGGAACTGGGGGGAGTGGGGGCGGGGAATCGCCACTCGGGGACTGGCTGGGTGTCGGTCGGCGGGTGGTGAGCAGTTGCACTGCGCATCATTTGTACATTCCAATCCTTTCATTATTGCTGTTGTCACTTTATTAGTGTTATCATTATCATTACTAGTTTCTTCTTTTCTGTTCTATTAAACAGTTCTTATCTCAACCCGCGGGTTTTACTTCTTTTCCTGATTTTCTCCCCCATCCCACTGGGTGGGGGGGGAGTGAGCTAGCGGCTGCGTGGTGCTTAGTTGCTGGCTGGGGTTAAACCATGACACTGTATTAACTGAGATTTAAAACAATCAGCCCTCGTAGGGGCATTCTGAACAAATACACACAAACCAGACAATGTAGGGACATTTTAGACACTTAGCTTCCTAAATGGAGGAATTGCTAAACGGCTCTTCATGCCTTAAACCAGTAGAATAATCACAGATTCATTCAGTCAATGCCTCTCTGCAAATTACCTTATTTAGATGTTTAATATGTATTTTTGAAAGCTTTCCCAGCATAATCTCCCAGAATGCTGCACCCTGCCTTAAAAGAAAATTCCAAATAATACCACGTTTAAGAGAAAGGAGAGCAAAATTTCTACCACCTCCAATTAAAAAACCAAAAACACCCGCCCCTGCCTCCCAATATACCCCAGCAATGGGGAGAGAGGTGTAGCCTTCTAGGAGTATGATTTAAAGTGAATGAGAAAAAAAAAGAAATTTGATCACTGAAAAAAATAAAGGACTGAACTAAAACCTTTGCGGGCAGAGAATAGATAGTGAAAACCTAATATTAACAACTGAGCAGAAAAAGAGCCTATCATGCTGAATAATCCTAAAACTGCTCAGAATAATTCAAACTTAGCTGTGTACAATTTCCAAGGAGAAGAAAGTAAGGAACAAATGTGGTCACTGTGGTTTTCTGCAAGACTAGCTAAAGATCAAACATCAAGTTAAAAAAATACATTTATATTAAAAATGTCAAATGTAGATTTAATGAGAGCTAGTTAAAGTGGGCACAAAAAGAAATGTTTTAAAAAAAAGACCCAAACCACAGAAGGTCAGACAATGTATGGCAAAAAACATTACTTTTGCCTTCTTAGTGTATAGGCAACATAAAAGTTGGGTTTGGTTTATGATCATTAGTGTTATACATATGAAAAAAACCCTGTAGATTAATGAAATCTGAAGAGATTAAACTGGAGTTCTTGTTGGTGTCAGTAACTATACATAGGGAGTAAAAGAGCAGAACCATTAGCGGAAAAAAGACATTCAGAGGACTGAACCACTGAGGCTATGATTCTCCTCTTGCCTGCACCAATTTTTCACTGAGGTCACTTCACAGAACTCAGAGAGATTAATCATGATTTCCACAGCAAATCAAGGATGTAGCTGAATACTGAATGAGTGTAAAATGCAGACAGTGCTAAAACTGAAAGAGAACTGAGGAAAGCAAACTGAACATAATTTGGAAGGTACTGTGTCTGGGGAGAAGCAAGCCAATACCAAATTCTGTGCTGTATGTGGAGAGACATTTTTACTGGAACAAGGAAATAATATTTTGTATTCTTCTGTATTTTTAGGAAGGCTGCACTAGGAGTTGGGCAATCTGTCCCAGGGACCTCATCAGAGTGTATGTATGTATCGGAGACTTCTGCAAAGACGAGAAATGCCTGTTGTGCTTGAGGGACAGACTTCTCTGGATGAATGAAAGAGGTAAATGTGCGTAGCGGGGCTGAGAGATGACTAGAGTACAATAAAAAACTACTTCTATCTGTGGGATAAGCAGTAAGGAAAACTGAAATATTTAAGGGTACAGAAAGAAGACTATTTAGGTAAAAGTACCATCCAGACAGACCATGAGAGAACCACTCTTGCGATGAGATATATTGGATTGTGAGCAGTGTGAAAACAAAGCAGTAGAGCCTGGACCTTAGGCATTTCAGGTAACTGTGAAACAGCTGAGCACCACTGGTCTGGTAGCTGACTTGGTCTCCTATCAGATCACTGTCAGAATGTGGACATCAGCTTCCTATGGAAGACTATCCAAGTTCAAAGTCCTTCATCTGCCTTGTCTCTTTCTTAAGGAAGATTACCTTTTCTGCTTCAGAGGTAAGGAAATATTTTGTT